CGACATTTTCGTTCATAGTCGTGCGGAGCACGGGAGGACAGATGAGGAGAACCACATCGTCCGTTTAAGAGCGGTGCTTCATTGGGATGCGTGGCCTTCGAGCGGATTCCGCTAAGGTCAAGGCCATTGTAGACTGGCCGGGTTCAAAGAACCAGAAGGACTTGCGCAAGTGGCTTGGTCTCGCCAACTACTTGCACAAGTACAGCGTAAATTACGCAGAAATGACCCGGCTATTATCCAATCTCCTTAACAAGAATGCGGAATGGTGTTGGAACACCGAACATCAGGAGGCTTTTGACGGGGTCAAAGACAGTCTCCTGCATGCACCAATACTGGCGCTGCTATACCCTGATCGTCCTTTCAGCGTCGTCTGTGACGCTTCGGACTTTGTCATCGGCTGTGCACTGCTGCAAGTAGACGCCGAGGGGTAAGATCGGTTGATCGCGTTCGAATCTCGACAGATCAAAGTTGCAGAGAAGAACTACCCAGTTTATCACAAAAAGCTACTTGCGATGAAGTATGCACTTGTCAAGTTCGGGGTCCACCTGATCAGCTCTCCAAGCCGTTTGTGATCAATACAGATCATGCGTCACTACGCACTACCCCTCAGTCGCCCCACCTCTCGCCGAGAATGGCTAGATGAATATCCTTCTTTGCGAAATGTAACTTCGAGGTGAAGCATAAGGCGGAAAAGCAGAATGATTTGGCTGACGCGTTGTCACGCAGACCAGACTATGGGCTTGCTCATGTTACAACTGTAACGTCGTCTGTGACAGATTTGATCCACACCGCGTTTGCGGGTGATGGGATGTGTGTAGCGTTGCTACGGGCTCTAGGGGACAAGGAGTTTGGAAACTCGGACAACAAATTGTCATCACGAATGCATGCACGATTGCACCGATATTCGTTGAATAATGGGTGACTATATTATAGCACCGATTCAACGGATACACCACGAATTGTGGTTCCTTATGACGAGGATTTAAACTACCGCATCCTATGGGGCTCACGACATGCCACTCAGTGGTTT